ACTCGGATTTCTGGTTCGCGGACTGTAATACAGAGTCAATCTTTCCTCGATTCGGGATTTTAAACCGGTGACTTGGAACACCATAAATCTCCCAAGTGGCGACTCTGAATCTTTTAATAATATAATCCCATTTCGATTGTCCTTTAATTGGAAAAACTCCCTTTATTATACCCTCCCGGGGGTGTAGTGAAAAAATGAGGTGTGACACATGGCGCCAAAAGATAAGGAGCTAACTACATTCCTTAACCCCAAAGGTATTTATTGCTACAAGGTAATGCCTTTTGGCTTGAAGAACGCTGGTGGTGCTTACTAAAGAGCTATGCAGAATATATTTGATGGCCTTCTCCACAAGAATGTCAAACGTTATGTGGACGACTTGGTGGTAAAATCAAGAAAGAGGGGCGACCACTTGAAAGACCCCCGCAATATTCATGAATTGAAAAGTCTGCAAGAAAAGCAAGTATACCTTGGAAGATTCTTGCTGGGAGATGCCAACCATTCAGTCGCCTTATGAAGAAAGGTGCCCTTTCAAATAAGACCAAGCATGTAGCAATGCCTTTGAGAGAATTAAATCCTACTTGATGAAGCCTTTAGTTTTGGCAGCCCCTATACTTGGAAAGCCGTTGATACTATACATTTCAGCACAAGAAAGGTCTGTTGGAGTGCTATTGGCCCAAGAAAATAGTGAAGGTAAAGAAAACTCCCTTTACTACTTGAGCAGGATGATGGCACCAAATGAGCTGAATTATTTGCCAATTGAAAAGCTATGTTTGGCGCTAGTCTTCTCAATCAAAAAGTTGAAGCACTTCTTTCAAGCTTATGTCGTTCGTTTGGTTTCTAGAGCAAATCCCATCAAGTTAATGATGTCAAAACCTGTCCTTAGTGATCGACTAGCAAGGTGGTACCTCCAGTTTCAACAATTTGAAATCGTGTACATCCCACAAAAGGCTGTAAAAGGACAAGCGTTAGCGGACTTCATGGCAGATCACCCTATACCTGATGATTGGGAGCAAACTGATGAACTACCTGATGAGGATGCCATAGTCATTGAAGTTCAGCCTCCATGGAAGATGTACTTTGATGGTGCTGTACATCGCGGAGGAGCTGGTGCTGGTGTAGTATTTGTCACTTCTCAAGGTGAGGTTTTTCCCTACTCTTTTACGTTGAGGCAACTATGCTCTAACAACGTTGCTGAGTATCAAGCACTAATACTTGGGCTCGAAATGGCTGTTGAAATGAAGCGATTGCAATTGCAAGTCTTTGGTGACTCTCAGTTAGTGGTCAGTCAACTTTTAGGTAGTTACGAGGTCAAGAAGCCTGAACTACGCCCATATCATGATTACGCTAAAAAATTAATGGGGTGGCTCGGTGATGTGACTATTCAGCATGTGCCAAGGAAATAAAACAAGAAGGCGGATGCTTTAGCTGCCCTAGCTTCATCGTTAACCCTGCCTGATCAAACGCAAGTTACTGTCTGCCAAAAATGGGTTGTGCCGCTGCCAAATGCGGCTGAAGGTGAGGAAAATGAACTCAAGCATCTTGTCGCTGTTTCTGAAGTCGAGAAAGAAGAATGGTGACAACCCATTATCGAGTACTTGTGCTATGGGATACTTCCAGAAAATCCGTGGAGAATAACTGAAATCCGGCGTCGTGCACCTCGCTTCCTTTACTACAAAGATACCCTATACAGAAGATCATTCGAGGGAGTACTCTTGCAATGCTTAGGGGAAGATAAAGCACTCCAAGCTTTGCAAGAAACGCATTCTGGGGTATGTGGGTCACACCAGTCTGGACCAAAGCTCCACTTCCATACAAAGAGGATGGGATATTATTGGCCAACGATGGAAAAAGATTACTTGGACTATGCTCGAAGATGCAAAGCTTGATAATTCCATGAGAATTTTATTCATCAACCTCCTGAAGTGTTGCACCCGACTGTGGCATCCTGGCCGTTTGACGCTTGGGGATTGGATGATGTTGGACCACTGCCAAAATCCTCTGGTGGGCACCTATAATCTTGGCTGCAACTGACTACTTCTCAAAATGGGCTGAAGCTGTTGCTCTTAAGGAAGTAAAGAAGGAAAATGATGCAAGTCTCATCCAAGTAAACATTATCTATCGCTTTGGCATTCCTCGTTACATAATAATAGATAATGGAAAGTTGTTCGATAATAGGTTGATGAACAAGATTTGTGATCTCTTTGGCTTCAAGCAACGTAACTCTTCGATGTACAATGTTGCCGCCAATGGTCTAGCTGAGGCATTCAACAAAACTCTGTGCAACTTGTTAAAAGAAGTTGTCTCCAAATCCAAACGATTTTGGAATGGCCGTATGGAAGAAACTCTATGGGCATATAGGACGAATCACCGCACGCCAACACAAACGACTCCTTATTCACTCATTTATGGAGCCGAAGCCGTCTTGCCACTTGAGCATCAAATACCAGCGTTACGACTGGCTATTCAAGAAGGGATCACTGATGAAGAAAATGCTCGACTTCGATTAGCAGAGTTGGAGGATATTGATGAGAAGAGGTTGTAAGCTCAACAGAGTCTTGAATGTTATCAAGCTCGATTATCTCGCGCCTTCAATAAAAGAGTTCGCCCGAGATCCTTTCAAGTAGGAGATCAAGTCCTTGCTGTACGAAGACGTATAGTTACTTTCCATAAACTTGTAGGGAAGTTCACTTCAAAATGGGATGGGCCATATGACGTACAAGAAACTTACTCAAGTGGGGCTTACAAGTTGGTTGATGCATATGGAATGAGAATCGGCCCTATCAATGGCAAGTTTTTAAAGAAGTATTATCCTTGAAGTTTCACGCTCCTTGACGCACGAGCCTAAACTGCATTTTGCTACACTCCTGGCCCGCATGAGTCTAAACTGTGTATGGCCCCAACAAAAAAAAAAGAGTCCTCTAGGTTGGAAACTTCGAAAGAGGCGGCCTAGGCAAAAATTAGGACATAAAAAAAATTAAATAAAAACAATCACCAGTCTAAACTACGGTATGACTTGATCCTCTTCACCGAGGTACGTAGGCAACTTAGAGTTTCATTCTAAGTTCAGTCGCATGATTTCAAAAGATACATAGTGCCCCAATTGTTGTTCGAATGAAATATGATGGAATGTAATTCATTCAATCAACACTTGAAAATCGAGCTAAGATACCATTCTTCTGTTAAACTTTGGATCCCATTTGATTTAAAGGGGGCAAGCCGCTATGGTAAATTGATTTAGTCAATGAAACAATGACAATCTTTTAAGAGGCTACAAAGTATTTGCATTGAATTCTGGGGATTCTCTATATCTTCATGTTCGCATAACCTTCAAGTTTATTAGCCTTCATATCTGCTCACTGCCCTAAAAAAGGGAAGAGTGACAATCGTGATCTGGAAAGAGAGCATGGATAAGTAAAAATTTTGCCTCAAGCGTAAAAAAAAGGGATGTCTGTATCGGAAATTTTTTTGAAAGGTTTTCGTTGCGAACTTTTAAAGGTGTTCGTCTCGAACTTTTAAAGCCATTCAAATTTTTAAAGGTTTTCGTTGCGAACTTTTAAAGGTGTTCGTCTCGAACTTTTAAAGGCATTCGAATTTTAAAGGTTTTCCTTCCGAACTTTTAAAAGACGTATGTTTCGAACTTTAAAGGTGCTTATGAAGGTGTTCGTGACGAACTTTTAAAGGTCTTCATCGCGTGCTTTTAAAGGTCTTCATCACGTGCTTTTGAGGGCCTTCGCCACGAACTTTTAAAGGTATTCATCGCGTGCTTTTGAAGGTCTTCACTGAGAACTTTTAAAGGTCTTCATCGCGTGCTTTTAAGGGTCTTCGCCACGAACTTTTAAAGGTCCTCATCGCGTGCTTTTAAAGGTCTTCACCGCGAACATTTAAAGGTCTTCACCGCAAACTTTTATAAATGACATTGTAGATGAAAGCCAGTCATCCTTTGTTCCAGGAAGATTGATTAATGACAACATACTGATGAGCCATGAACTTGTCAAAGGGTATAGCAGAAAGGGCATATCTCCCAGGTGCATGCTAAAAGTTGATATGAGGAAAGCATATGATTCAATTGAATGGGACTATATGGAGCAGGTACTAAGGAGTATTCAACTACCAGCAAAATTTGTAGATTGCATTATGATATGCATGAGAAGTGTATCATATTCCATAGTCATCAATGGGCAACACTCAATACCTTTTAAAGTAAAGAGGGGACTGAGGCAAGGTGACCCATTATCTCCCTATCTATTTGTTCTGGCTATGGAATACCCCACAAGGCTACTGAAGACTTTAAGAAGGAGCCCAGATTTTAACTTCCATCCAAAATGTGCTAAGTTGAATATAATTCAGCTCAGTTTTGCTGATGACCTATTGTTGTTCTGCCGAGGGGACTATGTGTCTGTGAAGATGTTGTATCAGTGCTTTTTAGAGTTCTCAAAAGCCTCAGGTTAATTGCCAATACAGAGAAAAGTTCCATATATTTTGGAGGGGTTCGAGAAGACATTGAACAGTCGATCCTGAACATGCTGGGCTTTACAAAAGGATCACTGCCAGTGAAATATTTGGGAGTACCTTTGAGCACTAAAAGGATGACAATGATGCAGTATCAACCTCTACTTGATAAGATAGTAGGGAGAATAAAGGCATGGACTGCAAAATTCTTAACGTATGCAGGAAGAGTACAACTTATCAAAAGTGTACTATTCTCGATACAAATATACTGGTCTCAAATTTTCCTACTTCCTAAGAAAATTGTACAGATGATTGAGAGCATCTGCAGGAAGTTCCTATGGACAGGAAAGGTGGAGAATACAAACAAAGCTCTAATAGCATGGGACAAGATGTGTCACCCAAAGGCAGCTGGTGGTCTGAACTTGATGGACATAGGCATATGGAACAAGGTTGCAATGTGCAAGCTACTATGGAACCTGTGCAAGAAGAAAGACAAACTGTGGGTGCAATGGATCCATGTCTACTACAAGAAATACAATCCTGGTTAGGGGATGGTACCTAAGCAGGCTTCATGGGTAAACCAGAAAATCTTCAAAGCCAAGAAGTATTTTGAAGAAGATGGCTATTCAGAAGAAGATGTAATCAGAATGCAGCACTTCAAAGTCAAAGAGATGTACTTGAAGAAAAGAGGACAATACACCAAAGTGACATGGAGGAGGATCATCTGGAATAATGCAAGCTTACCAAAATGGATCTTTGTGGGCTTTCTGGCAGCTCACAGACGACTCCAAACAAGAGATAGACTGAAAGCTTGGGGATGTGTTGAAGAAGAGACATGTCCACTGTGCAAAGCAGAAGCAGAGAACATAGACCATCTATTCTTCATGTGCCCATTCTCAATGAAAATATGGGTTACAATGCTCAGATGGATGAAAATAAATAGACCAGTTATGGATTGGAATCATGAACTAACATGGGCAGAACAACATTGTGGTGGAAAAGCAAAGGCTGAGATCTATAGAATGACACTGACTGGAAGCATATACTACATTTGGCAAGAAAGGAACTCAAGAATCTTCAAAGGAGTGGAAAGCAATGCTGAAGCAATCACAAGAAGTTTAGTGCAAGACATCCATGGCAGGGGTAATGTGAAGAAATGTCTGGGGAAAAGATTGAAAGAGTTTAATTCATATCCTATTGTGACGACCCAACCCGTCGCCTCATGTATTACAGCCCCGTTTTCCCCATTTATTGCTCTTTCATGTTTTATTATCAGCAACGGGTGAGTTAGAGTTGAATTGAATTGGTTTGGATAGGAAATGAAACACTTAGTCTCTTTAAGGAAGGTTTGGTTTGGAAAAGTCAACCGAACGTTGACTTATTAGTTAGAAGGCTCGGATGTGAATTCCGGTGATTCGGTTAGCTTCGGGAGGTGATTTGTGACTTAGGAGTGCGATCGGAAGTGATTTTGGAGGTCCGGAGTAGAATTAGGCTTGAATTGGGAAAGTTGACATTTTGGTGAATTCCGGTGGATAGGTGAGATTTTGATCCGAGGGTCGGAATGGAATTCCGGGAGTTGCAGTAGCTCCGTTAGGTGATTTTGGATATGTGTGCAAAATTTCAGGTCATTCGGACGTCGTTTGGTTGGGTTTGTGATCGAATGCGTAATTCGGAAGTTTTTAAGAAACTTAGGCTTGAATCCGATGTGAAATGATGATTTTAGTGTTGTTTGATGTGTTTTGATGATTGGAACAAGTTCGTATGATGTTTTGGGGTAGGTTGGTGTTTTTGGTTGAGGTCCCGGGGGCCTCGGGGTGATTCCGGGTGATCAACGGAAGGATTTTTGGACTTTGAATGTTGCAGAAAATGCACAGCTGCTGCAGGCCACTTTTGGCCTTCGCGTTCGCGGAGGTGCCCATCGCGTTCGCGTAGTTGTGATTTCTAGGTCATCGCGTTCGCGATCGTGGCCTCGCGTTCGCGTAGAAGGGCCTGGGGACCCTGCCTAGTTTGTTCATCGCGTTCGCGATGAGGGAGTCGCGTTCGCGTAAGAGGACGTTCCTGTGCATCGCGTTCGTGTTTGGAGTATTGCGTTCGCGTGAGGGTCGACGCGTTCGCGTAGGGTATCGTTTGGTCAAAGGAAAATTTGCCTTCGCGAACGCGAGGTGTTGACCGCGTTCGCGTAGAGGAAAAACTGGGCGACAGAAGGGTTTAATTATGATATTTCATCCGCGACTCATTCATTGTTTCCTCCATTTTTGAACCACCTCAAGAGCTTTTTGGTGGAAATTGAAGAGAGTTTTGACGGGAATTGATTGGAGGTAAGTCTCGTGACCTAGAAACGCTATTTTATTGAAGAATCAACCTTTAATTCTTGGAAAATTGGGAATAAATTTGAAGAACTAGGGCTTGGGTTTTGAAATGAAAATTTAGAATTTGAAGGGGCATTTGAACTCCGATTTTGGTAAATTTTATATGTACGGACTCGTGGCGAGACGAGGAATCCGGTAAGGTGAATTTCGTAATTTTTCGAGAAGTGGGCCCGGGGCTCGAATTTTGCTAACTTCGTGAATTTTGGTGTTTTTCTAGTCTTTTCGATTGGGTTATGTTTCTTTGGCCTATTGTAATGCATTCGTTGTGGTTTTAATCAGATTCGGCGTGCGAAGAGGTTGATTCGAAAGGCAAAGGCATAGCGAGCTAGACTTGTGGCCGGCTTGAGGTGAGTAATAGATGTAGATGATGACCTGAGGGTTTGAAACCCCGGTATATCACATTGTGACGCTATGTTGAGGCGAGACACGTACTCTATGACGAGTGCGGGGTCGATTGTGACTGGGGATTGTGACCTAGTCCGTTTCGGTTGATGTTCGTACTGTGTTCTTGACTAGAAATTGTTTGGTAATCATCCTACTTGGATTTTATGAATTTGTTTGGGGCTTTGTGCCTATCATGTGCATCCTTCAGGGATCCTTATCACTGTTTCCATGATGCTTAGCATATTTCATGATATCAGTCCTGAGCTAGACACTGCCTCGAAATGATTAGTAAACTAATAAAGATTTAAACACTTAGCTCTATAATTCCTAATAATCGAAACTAAAATGATTAATCTGACTGTGCCCGAGTGGCTTGCATGCATATATATATATATATATACCTGGACTGAGTGTGGATCGGGCTGCACGCCGCAGCGAATGTTACGATGATATTGTGCTTGGGCTGTAGGAGCCCCTCCAGAGTCTGAACCCCCACAGTGAGCGCGGGTACCCAAATGGATCGGGCTGCGCGCCGCAGCGGTCATGTGCATTGCATTGCATTCATGCATTTATACCTAATTGTCTTATTTGTCCTGGTATTGTTGTTGTTCCATCGTTTTATGTGCTGAATCGCTGATTATAGCTTTATATTGTAATATTTCGGGATTTCTTACTTTCAGCCATTATATATGTTTATTACTCACTGAGTTGGAAGTACTCACTTTACTCCCTGCACCATGTGTGCAGATTCAGGTGCTCCGGAGACTTAGTGGAGCTGTTTGTTGTCTTCTTGGATTTCGTTTTAGGAGTTGTTGAGGTAGCTGCCTGACGTCCGCAGGACCCGACTTCTCCCCTTTATTGCATTTGTCTTTCCCTATCCTAGACTTTCTTTATTACTATGAATATATTACTCTGTTACATTTAGAGGCTCTAGACTCGTGACTCCAGATCTATTGGGGAATATTTGGTATATTCGTTATTATTTTTCGTACTATTTTATTTAGTTTCGGATTGGAAACTTGATATTTACTATTTTAATCGTATTATTTGTTAACGGATTGCGAATTTGGGTTGAGAGTATTTAATTGGTCGGGCTTGCCTAGCATTAGTGTTGGGCGCCATCACGACCGGGATTGGGGTCGTGACAAGTTGGTATCAGAGCCTAGGTTACTAGGCCTCGCGAGTCATGAGCCGGTTTAGTAGAGTCTCGCGGAACGGTACGGGGACGCCTGTACTTCTCCTCGAGAGGCTGCAGAACCTTTAGGAAAAACTCCATATTCTTGAAATTCTTGTCGTGCGGCTTTGTGATTCGAGAACTAAATTCCTGTATTCTATTCTCTCGCAGATGGCGAGAACTCGTGCTACCGGACGCGATGGTCGACCACCAGTACCACCCACTAGAGGTCGTGGACGCAGTCGTGGTCGTGGTCGAGGTAGGGCAGCAGAGACAGCACCTGATGACCCACCAGCTGCCACAGTTCAGGACCAGACTCCAGCTGCCGATGTCCCAGCAGCACCTGTGCAGGCACCAGCAGTGCCTATTGCTATTCCTGGTCTCCAGGAGACCTTGGCACAGATACTATCAGTTTGCACTGGCCTGGCTCAGGCAGTCTCAGCTTCTACCGCAGCAGCTGCTTCCCAGACCGGGGGAGGACATCAAACCCCAGTTGCTCACACACCTGAGCAGGCTGCCCAGGGACTTCAAACACCGGAAGCAGCCATAGCTCCGCCAGTTGCTCCAGTTGCTCCAGTTCCTCCAGTTGCTCCAGTTGCACCAGTTGCAGCCTATGAGGCTCCAGCTATGCCGGACGATGAGCAGCGTCGCCTTGAGAGATTCGGCAGGCTTCAGCCACCGAGGTTCAGCGGTGCTGAGGGCGAGGATGCCCAGGGTTTTCTGGATAAGTGTCAGCGTATGCTTCGCACTGCAGGGATCTTAGAGTCGAGTGGTGTGGCTTTTACTACTTTCCAGTTCTCAGGGCCTGCATTTACCTGGTGGGAGGACTTCGAGAGGCGTAGGCTGGTTGGTGAAGCGCCCCTTACATGGAAGCAGTTCTCCACTGTCTTTCTGGAGAAGTACGTACCGTAGTCTCACAGGGAGGAGCTGCGTCGTCAGTTCGAGTTGTTGGTTCAGGGGGACATGTCTGTGACCCAGTACGAGTTGAGATTCACGCAGCTAGCTCGACATGCTACTTGGATGATCCCGACAGATCGGGAAAGGATTAGGAGGTTCGTGGATGACCTCAACTATTCACTCCGCATTTTGATGACCAGAGAGAGGGTTATGGGTGCCTCGTTTGAGGAGGTAGTTGACATGGCTCGAGAGATTGAGACGGTTCGCCGTCGGGAGCGTGAGGAGAGGGAGGCAAAGAGGCCTCGAGGTTCAGGTAGTTTCAGTGGTGCTCCGTCTAGGGGCCAGTTCCAGCGTGGCAGAGGCCGTTCCTTCAGGCCTCCTCAGTCAGGTCGTCCAGAGTACAGTGGGGCTTCTTCAGGCCGTGGTCATCAGGGATTTCAGCAGGGCCAAACTTCACTTAGTGCCTTTCCAGCTCAGAGCTCTACACCTGCCTCTTCAGCCCAGGGTTCTTCAGCAGCGAGGGGTTTCCATCAGTCCCCTTCTCCAGCGCCGGGTAGTTGCTACGAGTGCGGTGAGTTCGGTCATATGAGGAGACAGTGTCCTCGGCGTCGTGGTAGTCAGTCTCAGCAGAGGGATCAGCCCTCATCTTCTGCTCCTGTTTCATCAGCACCCGCCCAGTCAGCTAGGGGTGGAGGTCAGGTAGCCAGGGGCCGCCCTAGGGGTGGAGGCCGGACTGGTGGTGGTCAGGCTCGGTTCTATGCTCTTCCAGACAGGAAGGACGCCATTGCCTCAGATGCTGTTATCACAGGTATTATCTCAGTCTGCCACAGAGATGCCTCTGTCTTATTTGATCCCGGATCTACCTATTCCTATGTATCTTCATATTTTGCTCATCACCTGGGTACTACCCGAGGTTGTCTTGCTTTGCCTGTTCACGTATCTACCCCGGTGGGTGATACTATTATTGTAGATCATGTATACCGATCCTGTTTAGTGACTATTGGGGGTCTGGAGACCCGAGTTGACTTATTGCTGTTGAGCATGGTTGATTTTGATGTTATTCTGGGTATGGATTGGTTATCTCCGTACCATGCTATTCTGGACTATCATGCTAAGACAGTTACGTTGGCTATTCCGGGTATTCCGAGGATTGAGTGGCGTGGTACGACTGACTATGTTCCCAGCAGGGTAATTTCTTTTCTAAAAGCCCAGCGGATGGTTGGGAAAGGTTGTCTATCTTATTTGGCTTTCGTGAGAGATATTGGAGCTGAGACTCCTAGTCTTGATTCCGTCCCCGTCGTGAGGGACTTCCCTGATGT